ATGATTATTTGTTTAAATAATATAAATAATAAGTTATATAAAAATATACATGATTTGTTATTTTATTTACACTCTAGACAATAAAGGTTCCAATTCTTGTCAGTACTTGTTTGATAGGTTTATAGCTATAGTATTTCTTTATTTATTTCATATATATTCTCTAGGAAATGGAAATATATATATATATATATATATGTGTGTGTGTGTGTGTGTGTGTGTATACATATTCATAAAAGTAAATGTTTTATTCAGTTTATATTTAGATTTATTCACACATATTAATATTCATTTACTTATTTTTATTTACTAGCATGTCTCATTAGGAACAGGAGATTCTTGTATTGGTATTGCTGGACATAAAGGTAGTTCATCACCATCCCTAAAGATGCACACAATGCACAGGATAGCAAGGATGCTAAGACAACACCATAGAAACATCCTGAAGTGGGCATTAAACTACTTAGATGGGGGAATACAACCCCCTTGCATTTTTATGTGTTGTCTTTCAGTTGTACAGGAAAAATAATTAGATACTTATGAGTGAGAAGAGAAATTTTATTTTCATTTCTACAAATACGTGTTTTGTAGGCCCCACACATTAGCTATTCGTGCCATGGTTTTGATCACAATGTTAGCATGACAACACTTTGTGGGCAGTGGCTACTGGGATGCAGAGAAAAACGATGTTATCTTTATGTGCGCATTCTTTATAACATTCCTACAGCTGAATTTGTTTTCAGAGTTTCCCTGTAGGATAAGTTGTTGTTTCGGGTGTCAGTATGTTAGACAGAGAGGTCTGCTTTTAGCTTGAGCATGGAACTTATATTATCTAAACTCCTGTCTTGTAATAAAAATAGTTGTAAGTTCAGTCTCTCCTGTTGGCAGGTATAAGAGAGACTTTCTGCTCATCGAGTGTGAATCGTGTATTGTTATTATTTACGAGTCACAGGTTTTTATTCCCCTGCTACAGTAGTTTGCATAAAAGTGTGAGGACTGTTCTTTTGGGGGCCATCTAATCTATTCCACATAATTAGGAATATTACATGGCTACATTGGTTTATCATCCTTATAGCTCTGGATTTCAAGGACTTAAGTACCAGTTCTTCATTGTGTTATCTAACAAATCTTGGGTTGATTTTAGAATATTTCTGGTGATTTTTGTTGTTTTTGTTTTGCTGTTTTTTTTTCTTTTTCTGATATATATGTATTGACAGACAGACAGACACACACACACACGCACATTGTTTTTTCTTCTTCTTTTCCCTTTCTCCAACCTTTCTGATTAAGTCTTCTGTCCTCGACTATCTCTCAAATTCATGGCTTCTGGTCTCTTTTTCTTTACTTATTGTTATATGCTAAATATGTAAATATAACCTGGTCAGTCCATATAGTGTCAACTGTATGTATATGATTTCAGAGATGACCACCTGGTGTTAGATAACCAAGCAGGGTCTCATGCATGGAGAAGAATGTTCTCTTTCACTTGTAGCATTCCTTAGTTGCCTGTAGTTCTTTGTTGAGATTTGGTTCCAACGAGCTTTCTCTTTCTGTGTTAGCATGTCAGTTGATACTATCTCTGGTTAGGTATAGTTGAGATATCCTTACCGTTAAGATTTCATGGGTATAGATTCCCTAACATCTCTAAGATATGCAATCTCACAGCAGACACGCTGTTCCTCTGGCTCTTATAAACTTGATTGCAGCATACATCTTAGTGTTGGGTGATTCTTATCTTTTCTTTAATAAATTACCAAAATGTTGCATGCATTTTCATCTAATTACTTGTTCGCTGTTTGTTATTCCAAAAGGAATTTTGGGGGTGGAATATATGCAAATATATTTTGGGAGGTAGAAGGCATGTAAAGATATTAAGCTATGGGATACATGTATTTTAAAGACATTATTGTTGTTAACGATTTATCTTCTAAACGAGCTTATGAATGAACTGTGATTTTACTCTCCAATTTACTTTTGAGACCAGCCAATATAATTAACTAATTGTACAATTGTCTAAAACTAGTTGAGATGAACTGTTACCCAAGGAGATAAAAATCCTCATACTATCTTATATTTTACTTTCCAAGTAAGAAATTATAACCTTTGTCATAGTCATCACTTGGAGTTTAAATAAAAGTTCTAGCACTGTTTTGGTGAATTTTTGACATATTACTAGAAAAATATGCTTCCAAAGAATATTAGCTCCTAGAATACAACCTATTTATTAGTGTGCTTATTGTGATCATGATGTTTAATAATACCATAAATATAAGCCTTGATGCTTATTTCTAGTTCAGACACACAATAACATGCTAATGCCAGCCTACCAGTGAAGGAAAAAAAGAAGTAAAGCTTTTGGGTTAAGGTTAAACTCTATTTCTGAGCCATTTTCTGCCACTTTAGATACTGTTCAAGCCTCAGTCTTCTCACCCTGAGGGAAACAAAGAACTAAGCAGGGACCGATGACGGAAAGCTTTCTTTATAAATCTGTGATTGTGACTTTATACCTGTCTTGCATTTTATTGCAGTGTCAAGTAATATCACACCAACAATTTATTAAACCTGAATGACTTTTAAAGTGTAGATTTTAAGTATATCCACCTTGTACTAAATGAGAAAAAATAGCAAGAAAAATATCGTGGATCTTCTACTCTTGGGCAGAGTTAAAGAAATTCTTTTAATTTCATAGGCAATATTGTAAATGGCATTTTGTGTACATAGGTACACATACAAGTAGATACATATATACATACACACATACATGTTTGTTTGTAGATATGTATAATATGTGACACCTTTAGTGGAGACATGGAATGAGCAGAGAATTGACAAATGGTGAGATTGGGTAAGCCTTGAAGATGCACTCACAAACACAATCACACACATGTACATACTCACATATATAGACATAAACACTCATATATGTTCACATATGTAATTTGGGGTCATTAAAACATGAACTGTCATCACAGAACTATCCAAATAAATTAAAGATGATAGTAGCAGATGTTTTTCTTGATATTACTGGCAGGTATAGTCAAACCTTTCCTTTTTAAGAACACAAATATGAATCAGAGTTAGCATGTGGAAAATCAAGACCAATGGATGTGACCATGAAGTACATACTCTCTACAACCAAATACGGAGTCAGTGGGTCAAGCTTGTCTCAGCTGTCTGTCACACACAGAGCACTGAACAGTATTATAGAGGACACTGGGCTCTTCAACACAATGGGAGAGTAAGTTCTGAGCTAAACTTTAGACAACAATGAAGAAGAGCCCCTAGGACAGAAAACAAGCCCACTGGATGCCTGTGGGACACCAGGAAAATCAACTTAAACAAGGTGCAGTAACTTTAGTGGAGACACAGAATGAGCAGAGCATTGACAAATGGTGAGATTGGGCAGGCCTTGAAGATCCACTCAAGGAGCTGGCCTCTTCTCTGATGCTAATGAGAAATGATGCAGCTGTTGAACAGCAGACTGACGTGAAGGAAATGGTACCTGAGAAGGATTATTCTTCAATAAGACAGCAAAAGGATCGGGTCGGAACGGAGAAAAAAAGTAATCAGGAAATATGGGATGCTTTAAAAATCAAATTAAGGGCGTTTTATGTTTCAGTAAGAAAAACGAACTATAGGTGGAGCAGGAAGAAAAGTGATGTGAATTAGAAACCAATTTTTGCCTAAGCTAGATCTTTCCCTAAGATAATTTGCCTATCAGTTTCTATCAATCAAGTTCGCAATCGAACATTTGAATCCTAGTTCAAATGTTGTACTTCGGATATTGAAAAAGAAAACATTTTAAATAAACTTCAAGCCAGAGGCCTGGGAACTAGTCAGCATCTTTGCTTACTCGCAGAGTCCAGTGGAAGAACTCAGAGACAGAAAGAGCGACTGACTGACAAGCTGCACTTTTAATCTTCCAATATTTTACAGTGGTATTATCTCAGAAAATCCACACTCTATAATTTAATTTTACCAAATGTAATGTAATTTTACCCAATGGAAGTTTTTGGCAAACAAAACATCTTGATTGATTTTAGAGATTACTGCACTGAAAGCATAAATTTTATGTTTATATTCAAAACATACTGATGGGTTCCTTGTAAATGTTTGCATTTCCTTAAAAATGTTTTCATTTTAAAGAGAAAAAAATGGAGGAATAAATAGTCTCATACATTGAGTGTATTTTTTTATAGCAACTTAATATTCTATGTGTTTATATTGTACCTTGAAAGTGATATTATTGTTACTTTGCAAATGTGTTCTGGCTTAGTGTCTATCGACAAACTAATAGAAGAAACATTAGAAAACATCAGAGGAGCATTGGTTGAAGAGGGAAAAAAAGACAATAAAAAAGAATTTTCAACGAAAGAAATAATATCACTTTTTAGATATTTTCAAAACTTCAACATGAATTTCACATAAGAATTAGTAATAAAGTAAAAGAAAAGGAATATGGTTTGGTTTCTGTTTGAAGTTTCTGGATATCATAGAATTGAATTTTAAAACTTAACAGGCTAGTACTTGTCTCATTCTTGTAATTTGACGCGAGAGAAGATCAGGCAGAAGAATCACCATGAGTGTGGATTTAGAAGCCAGAGCAAGCTCTTTGGGCTATGGAATGAGAATGCCTTGAAAATATATAACATTAGTCAATAACTATAAGTAATATCTCACAAAAATAATGTCTTCCAATATCTACTGAAATCAGTTCATAAATCCGAAGACATTTTGCCCAACTCTTCTCGATAAACATAAATGCCAGTCGCATGATTTGAATTCTCTCAACATATTTTATATTAAAAAATAGTCATTTGAATTTTTATATAGCAACTTGAATTTCTGTAATGCTATTATGAGTTACCAGGATGCATTTTTTTAAAACTATTAGTTGTCAGTTTTACATTCTTTGACTTCTAGTCACATTAGTCATTATGAGAATGGAACTACACAGCTTTATAATATAAGATAAACACACAGATCAGCACAAGGGCACAGACCTCATTCACAGTGGCATAGTAGCTTTCGTGCTTGAACGTGGGTGAGTTGTCATTCCGATCCCGCACCACAATACGTACTTCATGATAGATGACTGTGCCCACCTTCTTGTTGACACACTGGACTTGCACTACAATGGAGTGTATGTTCATTGGTGGCTGCAAGAAGAAATGACATCGTTTTAGACGCTAACATACTTGACGGCTTCACTATTAGTTTAACCACTTATTCTCTATGATAAGCCAGGAAGCAAGATAACAGCGTGCTTTAAAAGTAAGAGAAGGACCACGAGACCCAAGATGAGGTTGTTATTTTATACAGGGTGTTTCCAAAACCCATCTCCACCCAACCTAAAAGGGGGGACTTCTGCCCCTAGACCAAACAGAGAGGGGCCACCCAGAACCTCCTCTGTCAGGCGATCTGAATTCTTGCTTAGGCTGCGAGGCTAAGCACTGCAAGGGAATATAAATAAAAGATAAAAATATCTATCTGGGTTCCCTGAGGGACAAGCCTGACTGCATAGGGGTTGATGTCAAAAGTATCCCCTCTCCAGGAAGAAGACATCGGGACGGGTATGGCCCTCATGCCTCACTGGACAACGACAGGGGGACTGGAGCCATTACAAGGTCCCCTTCAAATACTGGAGGTCAGGCCTCTATCCCCGCCTTCACAAGTTTAGAATTGCCACAGCCCTTCTATACTTAGAGAAGGGAGGAGATGTCAGGGGCAGTCCTGCTTACACACTTTAGGCCTAAAATCAGCCATAGGCCTAAAATCAGCAATAGGCCTGCCATACATGTATACTAACACCAAGTCTTGGGTCTCAGTGGAAAAACATTGAAACAGATGGCTATAAGCTAATGTAAGCAGGCAGCTTTTGTGGAAATTTACAAGCCTGAGTAGTCATAGACCTTGTAAATAGGTAGCCTGGGCAGACAATACCAACTTAGATAAGGACAAGAGAGTCATAGGCAGAGTCATAGTGACTTATCCCCTGAACCTTTACCCAGCCGATACCTGGTTCTGTTGATATCTGTTTTCCTCCTGATCACCCACACTCCAGTGTCATTCCCTTCCCCACATCCTGCCTTTCTGTGTTTATAACCCCTGTGTGAATGAATTACGATTTGAGAAAAAAAATAAATTTAAAAAAAAAAAAGTAAGAGACGATAGTCCTGATGACTTCATTGTCTAATTCCACACGTAAACACATAAGGCTTCAAGTACCATTATGATCATAAGATTTTTCTAGTGCATAGACACAAAACCCATGCTAAGATTTGCTCGAACACCAAAAATAAAAAAGTTTTTTTTTTATAAAATCCTAAGAGACAATGGTCTTAAATTTATTTTTTAAAAACAAAGTCACATTAAACTTTGAGAGGTGAGAAACTTTATAATTCTGCATTCACTTACTTTTATAAAAAAAAAAAGTAGGCACCTGAATGATAAAGTGAATGTGAACAAAAGGAAAAATTGACTCAAACCCAACCACATTCAAACCGCACACACATACACATACACCTTGTCCATCTTTTTTATGTTCACCATTTTTATCACTGTCAGGATTATCTATTTCCCCTCTAAATATTGTTTTGTCAGAATAACTCATAGAGGCTTTCCCGTCTTAAGTATCCTGTTTTCACTCTGCTTCATCTTTCCAACTCCCACTATTCATTTTTGTTAATGGTACTTCTCATCCACAACTTCATAGGTTCTATACTTTATGTGTTTGTTTCAATTCATGTTCCTTGATGAGACTGGAGGACCCCTTTAATCATGGGGGTGCTTTTCAATACCTAGTCACATCCCTCTACCTAGCAGCCGATGTGTGTTTAGGACAGGTGAGTGAATGATGTCAGAGAAACCATATCATTTCCCACTTTGCTCCCAGAAATACTGTCTGTATGACTGAGGGAAAGTTTAAAATATCTCCAGGGCTTACCTGTTCAACTCTGACAGTGGGGACCCAACAATAGTAATGCGATAGTACTTCAGTTATCACACAGGACTACCAACCACTGGGAACTTACTACAAACACTTACTCCTTACAGATGCGAACTATCGTTCATTCACAAAACAGTGATGAGCAGGAGTGGGTGAGTGGGTGGAGGAGCACCATCATAGAGGCGAAGGGGAGGAGGGAGAGGGGGGATGGGATGGTGGGGTTTGTGGAAGGGTAACCCGGAAGGGGGGTATAATTTGAAATGTAAATGAATAAAGTGATTTTTAAAAAGATGATATAGAGAAACAAAAAATCCATGTGAAGATCTTTACAAGAGCTGTGACATCACTCTGTGCTGTGATGTCTACCTGACATCAATGAAGATAGCGATGCTATGTTTATAGAAATTTCAAGTAACACACACACATATACATACACACACAGAGACACACATACAAATCACAGGAACATATAATAAATACCATGACCATGAACAAAATCATCTTAATAATTAGCAATAATTAATACTGCAGTTTTGAAATAATACACTTGCGCCCTGCCTCCAATTTGTTTAGGTAAAAATCACCTACGTACTACAAATGACTACAGTCATTCATATGAGCATATACTGATGAAAGATAAGAAGGAGATACATTTACATTCCAACACTAAAATTGGAGGTTGGGTAAACCCATTGTTAATATCAGAAGTATAAGAACTTAAGATAGCAGACACTATTCTACAAGTGAACAGGAAATACAGCTAGTGCACTTTTGAGAAAATTTGGTAACTTTCAGAACTTAAAAAAAAACATCAAAAAATTGCTAATGTTAACCATTTTATAAGAGGGTCTCTTTAATAAAACATCTTCGATTGCTACAGAGTAGCCTACTAGCAAAGCTACCCGAAAATCTTGAAGTTGAAGGTAAAGGACTGTTTTAAAGGACTGAATTGTAGAAGATTCTCAGCGGAATTCAATGTGACCCCCTGTGCCTTTATTACCAGTTTCAATGTAGTTGCCTTAATAGCCTAGTCAAAAGAGACTGTTTTAATTATAAAGTAAAATCAAAATAAGTATGCCTACTGCTATTTTTGGCACAACTATTGGAACACAATCAGGTAAGTTATATTCATCTATAGTTATTTTTCTTCTAAATATTTCAAGAGAGACATATAAATCCCCTCATCTTCATTTGTAGCTTTACATGGGGCTGTAGTGTTGGGACAGAAAGGTCACAGACTTTCAAAGGGTGTTAAATGTAGTGTGTGAGGGTCCCTGTCTTCCAGCTAAGTACCCGTAAATTAGATATGAACAGGTCACCTGGAACTGCTCTCATTCTCATCTATGGCTCCCTGTGTGTGCAATGCTTAGTGGCTGGGATGAACTTAGGTGGCAATAAATTCCAACCACTATGGATTACACTGAAGTAAAGAGGTCCCTGTGGCGAATATTGAAGGCACAGTGTAATTTTGTATTGGAATAAATCCTATTCTCCTGTACAGGGAAGTCATAAATACATCACACATAGTCTTACTGAGTCGATTAGTCAGACTTTAGGGACTCTGCAATGCTTATGGAAGTGTTGGAGAGGTTTATGACTCTTTAATGATGGAAGTGTAGGGGAGAATTTGGTTGAGCTTGCACAGTTACTGGCAAAAGTCAGTCATTGCAATTCTTTTGATAATCTTTCTTCCATCTTGAATTCTAATTATGTGTTCTATTTATGAAACAAGGAAACACCCTATGTACAAATTATGTGGGGCATAAATTATTTTTGAAACGAATTTCAAAATTAATGCTTAATGTACGATTCCAAAGTAATGCCCACAGGTCTGTGCAATGATATAAATCACTGGTTTATGAAGTTTATTTCTCAAAAGTAATATTGGAAGCATGAGGTGAAAAAGAAACCTTTCAACACGCATGGGAACATTGTAATTTAAGAGAAAGATGGAAAATGAGTCACCTAGAATAGAATATGAGAAGGGAATTTCTAAGAGTCAGTGATGTCTACACTGCAGATTATAACACTCCTCTGTGATATAAAGAAAATTAATATTTGTAGAAACTGATTACTTAAATATTAATAATTTGGAAGTTTCATTATTTAAATGGAACTAATTTTTCTAAACCTTTAAGATTTGGTCATATTTTTTCATAGAGTATAAATAACTGTCAAATTTGTACAGGAATGAATGGTTTTGCCATATCTCCTTCCCTCTGTCTTGGGATTTTCTTAGTATCTCCATACAATGAAGAATTATTGTTGTTTATTCAAAATAATTTAGGAAAGGTAAAAGTGTATTCTAGGAATATATATTTCACATTTCCAAGGTTTGGACCCAGGACCATCCATATGGTAGGCAAGCTGTCTACCACTGAGGTATGTAGTTTCAGCCCTTTAGTTGATATGGAAATGAAAAGACAGAGGTAATGAATGACTCTCCAGTGTTGTCTACTCCTTCAAAAATAATGGCATAATTATAGGAGTCAATTAAAGAACAAAATGCCAATTTGAAAACAAAGTTAGTTAGAAACGTAGACAAACTTAGATATATTTTATTGCTTTAACATTATTTGTTATTATGTTAAGTTCCAGATAGGTGAAATTAATATGACCTAATCCTTGGATGCTAAGAACAGTTCTGTAAAATTTATATTAAATAATCACAATGAACATAAAACAGACTAGTTAAGAGTACAGAATATAGAATATATAACTACACACCAGTATCAACATTAGGAAATAGATTTATGCATAAGCAATATTTATGGATTTAGTCCTTGCTCCTTTGTAGGAATTCACTCCTAGTAGCACAAATACGGTACTAAAATAAAAAAAGAAGAAAAGAATTCTGGATGGAGACGGGATGGGAGACAACCGAGAAGCTAAGAGGAGGAAGTAGCAGGGCAGTATGCGTATCATCAAGATACGGTACACTAAAACAGAAAAATTGCAAAAAATTTAAAAGATCTCCAATCAGTTTTACAGTCTATTTAAGATGGAGGTTGAATGAACTCTGAGATTGTCCTGGGTTCCAAGTGAGAGGAAGAAAGACTGACAGAGTGGGATGCTGATGGATGCAGGTGTAAATGCAGATGAGAGATGGGACCACTCATCAGACTTGGCAAATGAAGAGTGCCTGAGCAGAATGACTAAAACACTGAGCAGCAATCAAGTTCAGAATTGAAGGTGGTAGGTTCTCTGAGG